CAGACTAAATCTGTAGAAAAGGGATCAAGAATCCCCTGTTGACACACCAGCGAATAACAGGCCCATCTATCCTCATATTGAACGTTTGTCGAATCCCTCCGCGGGGCCAGAATTGTGTCTGCAACTGGTGCAGGAATTCGGCCGCATGGAGGCGATCCCTGATAGCGCCAAGCCACCCACTGAATCCTGGGATTCGGGTGCGCCCGCTCTGGGATAGGAGGTCCGGTCCGAAAAGGTAATAGAACAGGAGGCTGAGCCAGAAACCTGAGAATTACCGAAACCAGCTTTGTGCCCGACCAAAGGTGCCAGAAGCACAAGTAGCCGAGCTGGTTACAGCGGTCAGCCGCGACAGGACCCTGGAAATCAGTGGTATCGGGGAACGCCCACAGTACCCTGTCCGCCCAATCTAGCTGAAAGGCTGCGTTATTAACGCACCCGGATCCGAATCGGGGAGCAAAACACAGGAATCTGGTTCGTCACCCCAGACGCATGAAACAGATCCACCTGGAACGACCGAACAACTGGGAGATAATCCCGAATATCTCCCGGTCGAGCATCCACTGCGTGTGGGGCTAGTATCGCCGTGAGCAAACCCCGGGCGTCTACCCCGGGAGATAAACAGGCAAAACCGAATGTTGAACTGATCAGCACCACAGTAGAAACTGCCACCTCCTGAAGGGCGACGGAGACACTGTGCCGCCTTGCTTGAGAATGTAAGTCATGGCGCTTGATTGTCCATTTCTAGAGCGAACCACACGCCCTGCACCAACACCGAAGCTTTTCGAACACCTTGCGGACTGCTCTCAGTTCTAACACATTGATGTGTAGGCTGACCTCCCGCTCCGACCAGAGGCCGGAGGCTGAGTGTTTTCACCAGGACCCCCAACCTATGGGGGAGGTCCGTCTGAACTGAGAGGGAAGGTGTCGGGTGTCGAGGGGATCCCCTGGACAAATTCCGACTTCCGGCCCACCATCGCAAAGTGAGGGATTAACCACTCTGGCGGTATGAGCATAATCTCGTAGCCCTGCGAGTGGGACCACAGCTGAGCTAATGCTTGCTGAATTGGTCGCATCCTCAGGCAGCGACGCCAAACCACGCCCACTGTCACGCCATGTTGCCGAGGAGCAACCGAAGCCATGTTGAGGGCCGACGCAGCGGGGACTGGAGGAACTGTAACACAGTCCCTCGGACTTTGACGATGCGGTCGAGCAAGGGAAACAATCCCTAGCGCCGTGTTGAATCTGGCTCCCAAGAATATCAGATCCCGCGTCCGGAGCGAGTTCTGATTTCTTGAGATTGATAATCCAGCCCAGTGACACCAGAGTATCCAGCACGCATAGTGTGGAGGCTCTGCTTAACTGAGGCCCTAAGGCCCGTAGAAGCCAATCGTCCAGGAGGCACGGGTGACAACACCTGCCCTGAGACCTGGCTAACTGAGCTGGGATTAGCATAAGTTTGGTGAACACCCTTGGCGTGGAGATGCGAGAAGGGAACGCGAAACTGGTAGCACGCCCCGTCGAAGGAGAACCGAGGTACTTCTTGAATTCGGTGCATTGGAACATGGAGGTATCGTCTTTGAGATCGATTGGCGTAAGCCAATCCCTGTCTCGGCCGGAGGAGATCACTGACCTGAGTGTCTCCATCCTGAAGAGCGGCACCTCCAGTAATTTGTTCAGCCCTCTGAGATTCAGAATGGGTCTGAACCCTCCGGCCCTTCTTGCTCACGAGGAAGTAGGTGGAATAAAACCCCTCTTCTCGCTGACTCACAGGAACCACCTCGATGGCTGCCTTGGTCAGTAAAGACTGAACCTCGGCACGGAGGACTTCCGCCTTGTCGCGGGAGGTCGGCACAGGCGTGTGCCGAACCCCGGAGAAGGACGGAGGATCGCGCCTCCACTGTGGCAAATGGCCATCCCTGAGCGTGGACAGGACCCAGGGATTTGAGGTGGCTGCCTCCCACTCCCGGAGGAATAGGGACAGCACGGCCGCCGACAGGGGCGTGGTGGCAGAGGCAGTGCACCCCGTCGGCTGCAAGTCTCCGCTATGCGTGAGTGGGGGCAACAAAGGGCTCTGGGGCATGAATCAGTGGGAAGCGGGGCTGGCTTCCCTTGCCCCGGAAAAGACTGCTGCGCTGGCGCAGGCCTGCCCTTGCCTCTCGATCGCCTGCTCCGCTTGGACTGCAAAGGGGCAGCCCACTTAACAACATCCTTCGCCGGAGCCGAAGGGTAAGCGGATGCAAGCGGGGAGGGCCGATGGCGAGGAGCGGAGGGCTGCTCCAACAAAGGCTTTGAGTCCTTAAAAGTAGAGACAGCCTCCGCGGCCTCCCTAACCACCTGCAATGCCCCAGGGAACAGGGAAGATCCCATGGTATAGGGCAATGAAAGTAGAGCTTGCTGTGTGGCCGGCGAATACCGTGCCACAGACAGCCACAGGCGGCGCAAGCCCATGACTGCACCCATCATCTGGCTGGCACAGCACCTAATGCTGTCCCGAGCCAGATGTGAGTGTACATCCGTTAGTTGCCGCGCGAGCACCGACTCCGATGAATCGGCACCGCCAGCGCTGTGGGCCACCAGCTGTCCCTGCAATGCAGACAGGTAGGCTGAATGGACGGCCACTTTAAGCTGCTGAGCCGCGCACCGGTAACATTCTTCAAATGACCGGTAGGCAGACTTCAGCGGTAGTGATGTACTAGCCGGAAAAGGGGGGAGGCGCCTGCCCTGCCTGGCCGAGGCCAGGGAAGACGAAGACGACCCTCCTAATGTAACCGAGGCAAATACGCACTCGTCCACCACTGGTGGTTCGAAGAGCGTCTCCTCACCTAACTGGTACCGCCTGCCCACGTCAGGCAAATCAAAGCGCGAGCGAGTACCAGCAAGGAGCGGATTCACCACTTCACTGACCAGTGATGGGAGAATGCGCAGGCGAGCCTCTGCGACCCGGTTAGGTGCGAACGCCTCCCCCGGGAGCCGAAACTCCGCGGGGTCGGGTGCCGGGACGGGAACAGCCACCTGCGGCAGGACTTCGGCGATCTTATCCCGAACCTGCCGCAGGGACGAGGCAAAGGAGTACGGTACTCCCGCCTCCGGTTCCTCCGTCCCTTCCTCCTCCTCCATATCGACCTCGGCAGAATCCTCGGCCGTCATCATCTCAGACTCCTGAGAGAACGCCGAGGAGACGCCAGAGGCAGGACCAGACAAAGTAATAAGGTCCAGAGGAGCCAGGGGAAAAACATCACCCTGCCGGGAGGAACCCGCGCCAGGTCGCCGAGTAGCCCGAGAGGAACCTGCCGCAACAGGCTTCCCGGGCAGCCCAGACTGGCTGCCAGGCGCCGAGGTATCCCCGAACTGGTCGGTGCCTAAGCGACCACCAGTCGGGACACCAGGCGATGACAGGGGCAACCCTGTCACCGCCGGCACCAGGCACCTGTGACAGCCCCGGTAAAGCCAGGTCGTCAGCAGGCGCTAGGGCATGCTATCGCCCGGCGAAGCCAGGATCAAGCCCTGGGGCGTTCTCGAGCGAGCTTCGGGGCGCATTAACCCCCAGATGTCAGCTCCCCGACGACCCGGCGCTGAGCTCCTTACGGAACCCTGCTAACGCCGTATCAATCAGGGACTTGACTGACGACATCTGCTCCTGGAAAAAAATGGTTAAGGAATCAACAGGAACATTTTGCACAGGTGCTGAATCAAGAGGGGGGGTGGCGGGTACAGAGATGGAAGCAGGAGGAGGCGCCCGAAGGGCATGAGTGCGTGACGGCCGAAGCTTGGTAGCCTTAGCTTTCTTGGGAGCCCGGCTCGGCGTGGAAGCGGCTCCCGTGGACCCCTTTTCCTACTATGGGAAGCGGGACGGGGGATCCTGCGCCCAGAGATCACCGCCGAAGCAGGTTGCTGTAAAACAGCGTGTCTATCGCGCCTCGACGACGAATGGTTTGGGCGAGAACATGGCACATGCCGCATTTACCCTCTTCCTCATGTTCCTTCTGCACTAAACGGCGTAGGCAGACCTCATGGGAATCCCCGTGCAGGGGATTGCAGCAAGGCAGGAAGTACAGGGTTTAAACTGCAACAAGTAAAAACCTGTGCAGCAATCTACCCTATACCCACATACAAATACATGTAAACAGGCGCGTAGGCGACACAACTAATGCGACAACGTGAGCATGCAGTTGACCTAGTACACACTGCAGCATAACTAACAATTACACTTTTTTAGCGTAATATAGAAAATCGCGAGCAGTTGACATACACGCTACACATTACAAAGATACAAATAAAAATCACTAAAACCACCTGTAACATTGAAAAACCACATGGGAAACCAATGAACAGGAAGGCTAGCGAAGGGACCTGTCCGCCATCTTGACACGCACTAGCGAGCCGACCGCGACAGGTACCAAGTTACAACGAGAATTTATGAATGAAAAAATTCAGAAAAAACCTCCAATTCGCCCATGCAGGGAAAAAAGAGAACCATACATACAGTTGCAGTTTCTGAAACACTCATTTCTCTTTAGTCGCAAGGAAAAACCTTCTGGTATGGACCCACGTCTTGTCGGTACAACGACAGCATGGAAAGTGAGGTACGAGGTTACGGTCTGGAGTTACCTGCTCTTGGCTGTAGGGGGCCAGAGGGCCCTGTAAGGGTGGTCTCACAAGACAAAACGTAGTTTTTGTTTTGTAAATATTTTATTCAAAATATTGTTACAACTGTCGTAGGGATTTTAAATGGACATTTAAATGCTTATAAGTACCCCAAGGAGGAATATATAAAAAAGAATCTAATTTCCATCATTGTGCATGAAAAATAATCATTTACAACTCTCATAACATAAAAAAATATGACACAAATGCAAAATGTAAATGATACATAAACATATTTAAACCGATACTTTCGAAACTAAATATCGATAGTTTTGAATGTATCGATAATTGTATCGTCATAGAAAAAGTATCAGTGCATCGATGTATCGATGTTACGTTGCCTCCCTATGTTTTACCTGCGTGAACTGGAGTGCCTCCTTGTGTCGCTGCCTTGGAGGGCGGGGACAGACACAGCTGGGGACACGCCCACATTCCTGCCACCCCCACACTTCTGAAGCCATCCTGCAACAAAGGTGAACTGACTTATCCCAGCATTCAAAACAGATTTCAGGATATGCTAGTTGATGCTGCCATGTTTGTTGGCTTCCTCAAAGTGGTAAAAGTCCAAGACATGCATAACTTCAATCTTTCCTCCCGTATCAAGCTGACATTATAAAAGAAGCACTGAAACCCACTCACTCACTCACCCACAAACTAACCCACCCACTCACCAACCAACCAACCCACCCATACTCACTCACTCACACCTAAATGTCGCTCTATGCAATACTGACTGACTGACTGAGTTTGGTTTTACGCCGCTTTTAGCAATATTCCAGCAACATCACGGCAGGGGACACCAGAAATGGGCTTCACACATTGTGCCCATGTGGGGATTCGAACCCGGGTCTTCGGCGTGACGAGCCAACCTCTATGCGATAAGTTGTTATACATAAAGTTGTAACTTTAGTTCAATGTTGAACAAACTTTATAGATAACAACTATTTGGTGAAAGCGACATTTCGACACATAGAGAACCTCACCCGAGTGTCTTTTGATATGAAATATATCCCCATGAGTTCATAAAGTTACAAATATCTGAGGCTTGAAGTGTAACTTGTGTCCCTAATGTCATGAAGTTTAGGTGAGGTGAGCGAGCTGCCTAAGATGCCGAGCTAGTAAGTGAAAGGTGCCTGGATCGATCCCCACTTGTGACTGGGTGTAAAAACCTTGGAGCAAACATTACTTGCAGGCTCTTCCAGTGTTGTCACAACCCCTAGTGTGCAGTACACAACCCTGTGCACTTAAAAGAACCCACTCATCTAATGGCCTGTGACCAGATGGTGGACACACGATCATGTGCAGACACCTAGTTGCAGGTATAGTAATGTGCAGTAACATTGGACAAAATGCTGTGACTGTGTCCCAGTTCACCCAGCTGCACATGGGTACCTTGTGAGGGTGAAGCTGTGTGATAACTCGCTGCACACCTAACAGGCTGCATGAGTTGAATACTCACCAGGGAGTTGAGTAGGTTAAAAGAGGTGAGGTGAGGTGAGGTGAGGTGAGGTGAGGTGAGGTGAAATTGGGTTTAACGTCGTGCTTGAGAATATTTCGCTCATATGACGACGTGCATGCATGTGTATGTGTATGTGCGGCTGCTTGTACTAGCCCAGACTTAAGCTGGTTTTATAGTGCTAGCCCACTGAGATACCATGCCGCAGTGAAGCATGAATACCCCACTCAGACACATTATACTGACTCCGAGCCGACCAGTCCTTGTTGTACCCATTAATGCCGAGCGCCAGGCAGGGACCAACAAGTACCATATTTTAGCGTCTTTTGATATGACGCGGCCGGGGATCGAACCCACGACCTTCCGCTCTCCGGGCGGATGCTCTAACCACTACACCACGGAGGCGGTCTAGGTTAAAAGAATGCCAGAAAAAGACATCTGTTGATCAAGGGAACACTCCAGCACCTTGAGCATGTACTAGTTGGGTGGCTACGTGCGTGTAATATCCTGTAATAATAGTATAGTTGCTTACATAACAGAGCAGCCCAGACACGCACCAGCCTGTCAGATAAACACCCTACTCAGGCCTTCTTCATAAACACACACATCTACAGTCTAAAACCACTGACTGACATCCAGTTGCCTGTCAACCACAGCACTACTTCCTGAAAATAGGCGGTGGGTTGGCTGGTGGAGCATTCACTCGTCATGCCGAAGACCCGGGTTCGATTCCCCACATTTGTACGATGTGTGAAGCCCATTGAATATTGCTGGAATATTGCTAAAAGTGGCATAAAAGCATACGCACTCACTCTTCCTGAAAAGCAGCATGTACCAAATTCGCTTCTATTAGTCTGTCAATTGGGTGACACAAAAATTTCTAGACATAGGTAAGGCTACTGTTGGCCAATTGCAATCATTTTTCTGAACAGTACTTTGCAATTCACAGAAAGCAGAATACAAAACATACCAAAAATTTCATTGGTCAAACTGATTCCAGGGATTCATCAAGGATTCCACACAAATTGCCTCAGCAAACAAATTTGAAAAAATAACCAGGATACATTGTTTGGCTTAACCACAGACCTAAATAGACATAGTATGGTTTAATAATATTCAAGACTGTAATTAACATAAATTAACTTGATTATATCATAATGTCCTAACTTCTGAGAAATAGGGAAATTGTATAATTCAAACAGGGACTGTTTCTGTTATTCGCTGTAGACTTTGGCCCAAATAATTGGCCCAGGGCAGGTAACTTCTGAGAATTTAATAAATTTCATAATTCAAATTGGGAATTTTACTGTTATTTGCTGCAAACATAAGGCTAAATATTTTACCTACACCAGGTCTAGATGTCCTGGGAGGCTACAATCTGTGCCAAGGACAGCAGTGATCAGACTGAGAGATGACCTGGAGGGGGTGTGGGGTGTGTGGGGGGGGTGTGTGTGTCATGAACCAGGCCTACTACCGCAGTGAGACAGAACGTCTGCTGTAAATCAGTCTCAAGTATATATATGTAACAGTTCCAGTTTTCAGTTTAAGACGCTGGCCCCAAGCCCGAGTCTAGAAAAACTCTGTTCTGTCATGTAAGATCAGCTAATATAATACACCCGTGACCAACCATAATTTACATGTCCTAAAAATCAAGCTCTTAGAGTCAGCTTTCCACATGTAGGACCTAAAGACCTTAATAAATGACACTTGTTACCTTGTCCAGTGCTCTGCATTGAAATGAAAACCCCCCAACCCTACATGACAGGTTATTTTTGTAATTAAATATGGGATCTGTAGTCACATTTACTGCAACTGCAACTACTACTACTACTGCTACTACTACTACTACTACTACTACTACTACTACTACTACTACTACTACTACTACTACTACTACTACATGAATGAACAAATAAATTAATGAATGAACGAATAAATGATTAAATGAATGAATGAATGAATGAATGAATGAATGAATGAATGAATGAATGAATAAATTGCATTACACTGTTGATACCTTTAATTTCATGCAGGAGAATTGGTTCAAAGTATTAAGGCTATGGTTCAAAATCATGATTGGAAAAATCTTTTTTTCTAAAGTTAAATATTTACTGTTCTGCAATATTGTTAACTCAGGGCTCCAGATAAGGGCCGTATTGGCGTATGTACGGATAGAAAATATGCATGATACGGTAGGAAATAATTTAGAAAGCGTAGCAGATACGCACCACAGCAATGGTGTATGGTCTTAGAATCATTTACAGACGTATTTATCTGAAAAAGTATTGTTTTATTGTTTATTGACCTGTTTACACAAGACTGACTGACTGACTGTGTTTGGTTCCACGCCGCTTTTAGCAATATTCCAGCAACATCACGGCAGGGGACACCAGAAATGGGCTTCACACATTGTACCCATGTGGGGAATCGAACCCGGGTCTTCGGCATGAGGAACCAACGCTTTAACCATTAGGCTACCCCACCGCCCCGTTTACACAAGAGTAGTAATGTTGTTGTGCATATATAAAACAAAACACAAGATTACTGATACGCCATTATTTTCCATTCAGTACTCTAAATGTACTTCAGTACTCCTATATTGAAAAAAAAGGAGTACGTACTCCTGATGTTGAAAAATTATTTTGGAGCCCCGGTTAACTTATTAAAGTCAGGGCTCGATTTAAGAGATGTTAACCCACTTGAGCCAGGTGCAACTTAGATAAAAACCTAGTTGCACCAGCCAAATTCCAGTTGCACTGTTTTTATTGCAATATGTCATGAAAGAAATATGCTATTGAATTATTCAGATATTTTATTCAGAAGTTTATCCACTCAAAAATTGACTTGCACCTGGTGCAAGTTAGACTAATAACTAGGTTGCACTTTGTACTGACTGACTGAGTTTGGTTTTACGCCGCTTTTAGCAATATTCCAGCAACATCACGGCGGGGGACACCAGAAATGGGCTTCACACATTGTACCCATGTGGGGATTCGAACCCGGGTCTTCGGCGTGACGAGCCAACGCTTTAACCACTAGGCTACCCCAACGCCCCTTGCACTTTGTAATATTGGGTTGCACAGTGCAAGTAACCAAGCACTAAATCGAGCCCTGTAAGTTATATAAGTGCTACTTGTAATCTAACATGGTTTCCCACACTCTAAATATCATGCACCTCTTTATTTTCATAGCACTGAAGTATTCCATACATTGATTCATGACAATGTACGTCATAGATGTGAAAAGTTGGAATTGGAAGCAAAAACGAAATTTGACTAAAAAAGGCACATATAACAGAGCCAAAAAATTACAGAAACATTCAAAGCGGGACAGGTTGATAGGCATGTAGGTCCTTAAATCAGGAAACTAATTTCAACATGTGTGATATATTTCACTAACATATGTCACTCAAAGTGACAACACATGAACAACAATGGCGGACAGCTGCTCGGGTTGTGATATTATTAACAATACACCTCCATTGTAGCTCCACAAACATCCAATGTGCAGAATGTAAAGATAAACTGCTTGATTAAATCTTTATTGCTGCTAATAGTAATACCAAATCTTATTTGCCTGATTGAAAAATAGATAGCATTGATAGAACTAATATTAGATCCTGAATGTTACTGAAACACCAAGTAATTGTGATGTGCCGTGGATATAAATATTATGGATTTTAAAAATCAATACCCAACATGAAACACGTGTTCAATTGTGATCCCTTCATTAAGTCTGGTACAGTGTTTAGTCAACAATACCCTAGTTGAACACTACTGATCTGAAATTCAAGCAACATGCTCTTGTCATTTGAAACCTCTGTTCAGATACTCAGGTAGTCTGTCTCACAGTCCCTGAACCACATTAATTTCCCTACTGCCATGCCCCTCTCTGCAGTGCTAAAGCCCTAAATAAAGCAAGTCTAGATTTCCTCAGGTTCAGGTTCTGAATCTCTGGTCTCCCTAGAGCTCCTTTTCAATATAAAAGGGCTTGTTTGTTACTCTCAAAAATTATATATATTCAGAATAAGCCTTAGTCTAATACTCAGGTTGTGGTTTGAATTAAAGCCTGAAAGGCATTGGTAGTCATACAAAAGACCTTAAGTTAAAAAATGACACTTGTTGTTGCCCTGCCTGGTGCTCAGCATTACAGGCAAAAAACCCAAACAGGATTGATCATTTTTGTGTCTCTAATTTCTAAATAGGGTATTTGTAGTCCCATTTACTAAATGATAAATAACTGGGTGAGCGGATGTAAAAACCTTGGAGCAAACATTATTACTTGCAGGCTCTTTCAGTGTTGTCACAACCACTAGTATACAGTACACAACCCTGTGCACTTAAAAGAACCCACGAATCTGTTGGTATATGACCAGATGGTGTCTACACGAATACGTGCAAACACCTAGTTGCGGGTACAGCAACGTGCAGTGAACTTGGACAAAGTACTGTGACTATGTGTCCCAGTCCACCCAGCTGTGAAAGGGTGCCTCATAAGGATGAGAAAGCCACATTAAATTGGTGCACCTGAGTTGTATGCTACCCAAGGAGATTGAAAATACAATGTGCCGTTGAAATTGACATACAATGATCGAGGAAAAAAACCCAAAGCGCTTTGAGCATGCCTGTAGGTGGGATGGACTATGGCCCTATATTATATATAGTCTGTTTGCAGTGAAAACATACCGATGAATTTCACTTTAAACAAAAAAGTAGGGTGACGAGCAAATGCTTTAACCACTAGGTTACCCACTGTCTCTGCTTGGTTGTAATATTGGCAGTAGAAACAGTAAAATTACTGACTGACTGACTGAGTTTGGTTTTATGCCACTTTTAGCAATATTCCAGCAATATCACGGCGGGGGACACCAGAAATGGGCTTCACTCATTGTACCTATGTGGGGATTCGAACCCGGGTCTTTGGCGTAACGAGCTAACGCTTTAACCACTAGACTACCCCACCGCCCCCAGTAAAATGACATGGGGATGTTTTTTCAGGTCACACAGGAAAGGTGCCAAATTATCTATTTATATATCATCATTGAATGTCACTTTAAACCAAAAAGTAAAACAAATAAAGTGAAATTAAGACTGCGAATCCTCATGATTTTACCTTGCCAACTGAACATTTAAATCTCAAAATTTTATTCGACTTAGGATAAAAGTCGTTTAACAAACGATAATAGATTCAAATCGCTATTACTAGTTTGTATTACAAGGGGGTAAGCGCAGTAGTTGGAACATTGAAACAAATGCATGTGCGGTATGTGAAGAGCGTTAACTTATAACCCTTGTCGTCTTCAGTGTTTCATTTGATGCATACCCCCTTGATACCATGTTTGCAACTGAGTACACTCGTTTCCATCATAACGCAATTGAATGCATCTCATGGAATAGTAGAATAGTTTAGCCAAGAGCACAGTCCAGAATGGGGTTATCCATGTGTCTGTAATATTATTTTGGGATACATATATATGTAGTATCTTTGTCGACAATGGCTCCATCAGCCATATTTCCCACTTGACTACACAGAAATCATGAACAGATGTTGATTGTTAATGTTAAAAATAATTCCTAAAGTCTTGGATGAAACTTTAATTATCATTAATATATTATATAACTGTTTGGAATCTGTTTATTCATTCAAGTCAAAGGCCACAGGCCCATAGGACGTACATCAACCGCATATATACACATTTTGTTATACATAACTGTTATATAACTGTGGCTGTAGCTAAATTTCAACGTTTATAACGGATAGGTGATTCATGACCTTGTAAATTGTCAGGTTAAAAGAAGGACAGATTGCTTGGGTCATAATAAGGAACTCTTCAATATAACGCTGTCTGACTTGAACACATCACCACATTTTCTACTGTAGGTCATATTGTGGAACGTGTGAGCTCAACCATGACAGGTGCATGTGACGTTGTTCCCTGGGAATATGTCGACAGGATTAAATAGCAAGGCATTTACTGACCTATCTTCGGTTTGCGGTCAAAACCATGATAAGTGCCTCCTGTTCCTAAAATCAGGCAAACATAAAATTTTGCAAAATCATGTTTCACACACTCACCTGTCAACCCCCGTCTCACGTACTTCGCCATGCTCAACCGGTGTTTATGTCAACACTGCGCCCTCTGGTGAGTGTGCAAGGAACGATAATCTCGACTCACAGAGTTAGTTCCCCTACACCAAAACGCGACGAATAATTTTATTGTCTGTAAGGATTTTACTGGGGATGCAACGAATACACACGTGGGTGGGTACGATAGGTGTCATCCCAGTTGTGAGAACTCCCAGTTGTGAGACACATTAATTAATGGTTCAGTGCACATAGGTGGTGTTTCCACAATGTCATCCCTACAATGAAAGTGGGATCAGCCCAGCCTAGTACCCACAGGAGGCATAGTTCATTGATAAGTTGATTAATGAAATAGATTATCAAAGATTATAGTTACACAGAAGAAATAGTTCATTGAATATTTTATTTATGCAGAAGAATATGTAATTATGATAACACATTTTTATTGACTATTATGAAGTTTGGAAGTCATTTTTGTTTAAACATATTTAAATATTATTTATAAAAATGAATTGGGATTGGTGAAGTATTACTGCTTATGTTAACACCGCTCCCATGCAATATAAAATATAAAATGAAATGGAGGATGAGACGTCATCGATATTGACTATTGCATAAATATATCGGCGTTTGGGTCGCTAGATCCGAGCCTGAGGCAGCAATGAACGATTTGACAAAAACAAGAGCCATAATTAAGATCAATATAAATCTTGTTTTCGGTTTTTGTAATTAGGTTTTAAAATTCTTTGAGACTGCATGACTCTTTGGTATTTGGTAGGGCATTCCATAAAGTTATTGTGTCGGGTAGGAAGGGTTTGGCATAAGGGGCATTTCGACTGTAAATTTCAGAGTTATTTCTTAAACTATAGTTTGTAGTTTCGGAGACGGAGTAAATCTGAGTACTAGGTAAATTAATTTCTCTTTGATCACGAAGTTACCTACACAAAGTGTTTAATTATTAAAGACATTTACCTGAGTATGTTAATCAATTTATCTTATAAAGTTGCATTAAGTTACCTCCACAAGATTCAGTTACATAGCAAATCAGTAATTAGCTAGGGTGAATCCATTCTATCAGACAGGGGAGTATGGTGTGTTTTCGTTGTTAATTACCTACTCCACTGTCTCATAACTGAGAATCTCACAACTGGGAGTTCTCACAAATGGGAGTAGACCGTACGATATGTTCGTGCTATTGCTGGAATATTGCTAAAAGCGGCGCAAAACTAAACTAAACTCACTCATTTCGTTGCTTTCAGAAGTTAATTGCCTGCACATATTGATCGAAATTATAAAGTTGATGTTAAGTTAAAAAATTAATACAAAGGCTTACTGAATATCCCCACAGCTCCTCATGAAACAAATACAAATATACATACTAGTACAAATACAAACAACGAAAACAACTGTAAGAAACGAACGACAGCACCACCCGGCTCCGCCCTCAACACACAAATAATAGATACATTAATTAAATGAATAATTAACACACCCCCTCCCAACAACAACAACAAAACATCTCCCCTCCCCCACTCTAAAAGAAAGAAAAAAACACCTAAAACAAACCCCAGAGCAACAACTACAAAGGAAAAAAACAAAAACAAAACAACAACCCAGAAACAAAAAAACCAAAACAACCAACATTTAAGCAAAACAAAAAACAAATCGTAGATGAAAAAATTACAAAAACGAAAACAATAGTTGAAAGGAACACGCAAATTCTATCTCAGTCTTATTAGAGATGATATGACATTGTCATAAGAGAGTTGTTTTCTGATCATTTGTGTGCGTTCGTTTGATTTGTTTGATACACCGGGACGTGTACACACGTGTGTTTTTGTCCCTTTACAATTGAAACAGAACTTTCGCAATGAACGGGGGTTGTGCGACTCCATAAGTTGTGTTGAATGTTCACCCCGTATGCGTCACTTCAAAACACAAGTTGGAAGATACCACAAAAAAGCGCCAAGTCCTTGTAAACGTCTGTTCTAAAAAGAATGTCTCGGTATGACGTCATCGAGTCAATGACGTCATGAATTGAACATCTTCAAAGCATACGGAGTTGACTGTGGAGCTCCTACCTCTGAATGTCAAGTAGGTATTTATGCATGTCGAACAAATAAATTTTACTGTTCCGGAATATTAACATTAATTCAGATGAGTGACACTGTCGATATCTAATCGTTTTGACATTTCATCACATTTCATACATTTCAGTTGATGACGTCACATGTCCATGGCTAATTCACTATTCCCGCCAAATGACGATTGTGCCACATGCGGTTACTGTCTCTCGTTTGTTTTGTATCGGGTAAGTATACTGACTGACTGACTGACTGACTGACTGACTGAGTTTAGTTTTACGCCGCTTTTAGCAATATTCCAGCAACATCACGGCGGGGGACACCAGAAATGGGCTTCACACATTGTGCCCATGTGGGGATTCAAACCCGGATCTTTGGCGTGACGAGCCAACGCTTTAACCATTATTAGGCTACTTCATCATGTATACACATACACGCATGTTATTGCAATATATTGACCATATATTGAGCATAGCATACCCCTCGGTCGAGATCAAATCAAACATCATTTCTAGAATACCAGAGGGGCGGTGGGGTAGCCTTGTTGTTCAATCGTTCGCTCGTCACGCCGAAGACCCGGGTTCGATTCCCCACATGGGTACAATGTGTGAATCCCATTTCTGGTGTCTCCCGCCGTGATATTGCTGGAATATTGCTAAAAGCGGCGTAAAAACACACTCACTCACTCACTATAATACTAAAGGTGAGATTGTCTCCCTTGCAACCGAAACAAATAAAAACAAACTTATATAACCAAATATACCATATATAACCAAATATACCATATATAACCAAATATACCATATATAACCAAAGCACAACACTGCGATAATGCCAACTTCTCACCACCTCTCTTTCTCCGCTTGAGGTTGGACATGAGAAAAATAAAATAATGACCCAACAAGCAAGTAAATGGATCTTTCAGTGTTGTCACAACCCCAAGTATACAGTACACAACCCTGTGCACTTAAAAGAACCCACGAATCCTTTGGTATATGACCAGATGGTGTCTACATGAATACGTGCAAACACCTAGTTGCGGGTACAGCAACGTGCAGTGAACATGGACAAAGTACTGTGACTATGTGTCCCAGTCCACCCAGCTATGAATGGGTACTTCGTTAGGATGACAGTGCAATAACTCGGTGCGCCTAGTGGCTGCAAGAGTTGTATACTCCCCAGGGAGTTGAGATTGATAATACGACGTGCCGTAGAGATTGATATCCAATGATCGAGGGAAAAGAAATACCAGCGCCTTGAGCATGCACTAGTTGCGTGAATATGTGCGCTGTATAAATATCCAATAATAATAATAATAATAATCAGGGTGTCAGATTAGTTGACTTGTTTGAGGTCGTGTCATCGTTCGAAAACTGCGAGGGTCGTTGTTCATAATATCAATCACTGGACTAGTTACAGACTATGGTTGTAATATCGTTAGTGCGGCGTTAAACAATTGACAATCAATATCAACAAATGTTGTCATTTGGTTAACTCTTCAACATATATTTCTTTAACAGGCGTCTCTCTCTGCTTCACTGATACTCGAAGACCACTGATGAATTTGTTTGGTAAGTGATTAAATTGGTTTAACATAGCTTTGAATGGATTACCACCTGATTGTCTGGGGGCTGTGGGGTAGCCTAGTGGTTAAAGCGTTCGCTCGTCACGCCGAAGACCCGGGTTCGATTCCCCACGTGGGTTCAATGTGTTAAGCCCATTTCTGGTGTCCCCCCGCCGTGATATTGCTGGAATATTGCTAAAAGCGGCGTAAAACTAAAGTCACTCACTCACCTGATTGTCTGATATTTGAGGAAAGTTCGATGTGATGACTGCCTTCCACGTTCAACAGCTTTGGTAAACTCCGGAATGGTGCTAAAAAAACCTGGAAACACAACTAAGGCTACCCAGATTCGAACCGCCACCTTACACCACTTGCCCACCAATGCCCCATGTTAAGCCGTGCACATGCACGAATATTTTGTTCATGCATCTCACATTGAAACTTTCGGAAATATTTTTCGGATGATCTTTTCTCGCGTGAGATGTACTCGATTTTGAATAACATTTTGTTTGATCGAAATATTTATTATTTTATTAAAAGATGTACCGTCGTAAATGGGTCATGGATCCTTATGATGGATCATGGTATATATTGTTATAGAATTGAGGTCTTGCATCTTCTGTTTATATATATTTATGTTACAAGAGGTGAGGTGAAATTGGATTTAACGTCGTGCTTGAGAATATTTCGCTCATATGACGAGGTGCATGCGTGTGTATGTGTGTAGGTGCGGCTGCTTGTACTAGCCCAGACTGAAGCTGGTTTTATAGTGCTAGCCCACTGAGATACCATGCCGCAGTGAAGCATGGATACCCCACTCAGACACATTATACTGACTCCGAGCCGACCAGTCCTTGATGTACCCATTAATGCCGAGCGCCAGGCAGGGACCAACAAGTACCATATTTTAACGTCTTTTGGTATGACGCGGTCGGGCATCGAACCCGCGACCTTCCACTCTCCGGGCGGACGCTCTAGCCACTACACCACGGAGGCGGTCCTGTGTGATTTAGTATGGCAACATACGTGGTGTAGTGGTTAGAGCGTCCGCCCGGAGAGCGGAAGGTCGCGGGTTCGATCCCCGACCGCGTCATACCAATAGACGTTAAAATATGGTACTTGTGGGTCACTGCCTGGCGCTCGGCATTAATGGGTACAAGAAGAACTGGTCGGCTCGGGAGTCGGTATAATGTGTCTGAGTGGGGTATTTATGCTTCACTGCGGCATGGTATCTCAGTGGGCTAGCACTATAAAAATACCAGCTTCAGTCTGGGCTAGTACAAGCAGCCGCACATACACATACACACGCATGTACGTCGTCATATGAGCCAAATATTCTCAAGCACGACATTAAACCCAATTTCACCTCACCTCACTGCGCGTACCCCCTTGAAATACAATGCTGACATTACTTAGCTAAATAATTGCAAAATAGTGTACGATTATGGCAGACATAATTTGGGTGAATATGGGATTAAAACTCTATATCAGCGCATCTGTCTTCAGGAAAAACAGTTTGAGACCCCATGTCAAATAATGGTTGATTGCTGCCTTGAGTTTATCGGCACCGGATAAAACCAAAACAAAATGCAGATCATTCACAGTAAAGGTTTTGAAAAGCATGTGTTTGATCGTTTGTTTGCCCGTTACCACAAATAACGGCGAATGTCGGGACTCTTGTGAAGATCAGTCGGTTTGCATGTCATCGCATCCTTCTTGCGTCGATGTTCATGATGTCAGTCACTGGATTGTGTGCTGTAGTTTACTTGCAGACGACTTTAAGCATTGCTGAAATATTCTGTTCATGAACACTTCATAGGTTCATGTACGGCTATTGATCTATATATCCAGGCGTTAACATTTCTAGATAAAAAATTAAAATGTTTATTTTATCAGGACCTACTGACCAATCAGCGAGACATGAAACGCCACTCACACAGCAGCCGAGGAACATGCGCAGTAAGAGAAGTGCACATCTTCAAGGCTTGGCAAACAAAGATTGGGAGGTGTCGTGGACATCGCCGACGCCTAAAGCTTCGGATTCATCAGACTCATACGATATTGACGACTTTCAGGTGCCAGTTTGAATTTGTTAACACGCCATGCCAAATGCCAGAGGAATTACGATCTAATTTAAACATCAAACTTCTACGTAAATACAATGAACCAAAATACGGAATAGTTAGGTAATTTCTTATCATTAAGTTTAAAAACATAAACGACATCCTCTTCTTAACTTGCCTTTGGCATATTGGTCTTGAGAATCCGCTGTCAAAACTATGAGCCTGAACATTGTTTTAGGTCACTTCAAGTAGTATTCAGTTACATTTGCGCTGAACACCAAACCGGGTTGCATACATATTACCTAAGCTAGAATCGAACCCGGGCCTCCTGCGGGATGAACGAGCTCTTGGAAATCAAGGCTATCCCACTACACCAACACCCGTGAGGTGAAATTGGGTTTAACGTCGTGCTTGAGAATATTTCGCTCATATGACGACGTGCATGCGTGTGTATGTGTATGTGCGGCTGCTTGTACTAGCCCTGACTGAAGCTGGTTTTATAGTGCTAGCCCACTGAGATACCATGCCGCAGTGAAGCATGAATACCCCACTCAGACACATTATACTGACTCCGAGCCGACCAGTCCTTGTTGGACCCATTAATGCCGAGCGCCAGGCAGGGACCAACGCCCTTACAATGATGTAATGAAAATTATGAAATGTTGTGTGTTTGTATGTGGCATACATGTCAGTTTTACTTACACTTATTTCCTTGACAGGTCATTAACCGCGAGGAGATTCTCCGCGCCAAGCACCTCTACATGAAGAACATTTTGATGTATGTTGGAATAACACTGGGTGCAGTATTTCTATTTGTCGTCATAGCTTTCTGCTTTCTTGTAAATCCTAAACAATGCATTATCGCCTTCGGAACAGGAAGCCCATGCTGTCTGATTATCTCCCCTTGTATTTTGAAATGTGTTGAAAAGTTCCTTGACCCTGGAAAAATAGTTCAAGGTCAAATGAACCGATACGTGCCAGGCGTAGTTATCGATGAGAAGGGCAAGGTCGCAGAGACATACGAGCCGACACCGGAGGAACTACAGGCGCTGCAGGAACTTGTTGAAGAGGTCATGGACATGGTGTAGGTCAAGGTCATAGGGTGGCATGACGCGTAGATCAGATTTATATTTATGTACTTGAAATGTATCAATCTATACAATCATAATGTGAAGGCCGTCTTATTGAGGCCAGTCTCCAGTTTGCCGTTATTCATTTGTGCCTTTTATGAAAGAAATATAATATCAGAACATTTAATTCTATTTGACTGCCACTGTGTACTGTTGTTTAAAAAGTGATGCATATTTTGGACGTTTACCATTTTTGTGAACCCCACGTGCATTGTATCTGACAATCCAAGAAATAAAACCAAGACAAAACTAGGATTCAAACCACAATTATTATTTCTAGCATATAGTTGACTTAAAAAAACATTTGTGTCGAACTTTGATGTGACGAACATACGGTCGTGTCGAAGTAAAAACGTCTTCACTGCGTACTCTGGTTTTAGTGATCGCATAGGATAGTTCGAAGTATTTAAGGAGGTCCATTAAACATCGACACTGAGGTGTTTGAATGTATATGTAACTGTAGCTTCGAGGGTATTTAGGACGGAGCTCTGCACAGGTAGCAGTAACACCCTTTTTGAAGCGGTCGGTGGGGTAGCCTAGTGGTTACAGCGTTCGCTCGTCACGCCGAAGGCCCGGGTTCGAATCCCCACATGGGTACAATGTGTGAAGCCCATTTCTGGTGTCGGGGCGGTGGGGTAGCCTAGTGGTTAAAGTGTTGGCTCGTCACGCCGAAGACCCGGGTTCGAATCCCTACATGGGTACAATGTGTGAAGCCCATTTCTGGTGTTCCCCGCCGTGATGTTGCTGGAATATTGCTAAAAGCGGCGTAAAACCATACTCAGTCAGTCAGCCTTTTTGAAGCCGTCGACAACGTCACGTGATGTGTTTCCATGAGCAACATTCAGCCTGTAGACATTTATTGTGATTTATGATGTTTGCTGGATGTCGGGTCGGGGATAATATCAAGGAACTTTCTTTCATGCTTCTTTGTCATCTCCGTCAGAGATAACCCAATGTTAATGGATTCTTCTCACGCATTTTCCAATCCACGTGTGGTAAGCTTTTCAAGTATAGCTATATTATTATTTATTCAAAATACAATATTAAGATCTATTGTTACGACTTCGTTTGTATTTAAAGAATCTTCACCGAACAGCTTCTTCAATGTAATGTCTCAATGACATTGTGTTTTAGAAACATTCTTACCAGCTTCTGCTCTGAGGACGGAATGTCGGGGAATAGGATATGGTACTTGCTTTAGTTCTGCCTTACCTTTAGACTCGGGTCGGATTCAGTACACTGTGCCTGGATTTTGCATCCATGTACAACGGAGTAATGGTATCTTAGTGAGCGAATACTAGAACATCTCGGTGCACAATGAGCAATTTTCACAGTTTTAGGAGACATCTGTGTTTGTAAATTAGAGTATAAAATCACGGCCCACTTGCACAGAACGATCTTAGCACTACAATTATTGTAAATCCTTAAGATCGCGATCTTAGGCTTCGGCTACAACCGCCATCCAATTGCACAAATCAGTTGTACGCTAAGATCATTGTAAGTTACAATCAAAACTAACAATTGGTCCGGACCAATTGTAAGAAGCTACGATCATTGTAATCTGTGACAAAATGGCGTTCAAATTAGTGTCTGTTACACGCAAATAATCAGCTTTACGTTTGGAGATTTCCTCTATATTGCATAAAACTGTATGATCTTTACAAATCTATTACTTGTGGGATATATTTGGGATTTTACTCCAAATCTCCTGAACAGATGCGTCCTAAACAATATTATATATCATAAGGAAATTTTGTTTATATTATATGTTTTTATTTTCATAATTATTAAGTCACTAAATCTAGATCCATATTTATTCATGCATTTTTTCGTATTTCAGTATTTTCATAAAACCTGAGTAGGTATTTATGTGGTTGCAATATCACATTATTAGTTCATTAATCAAGACAGTTAGAATGAAGAAAAATATATGTTATCTTTCACATAATCTTTTCCTTGAAATATTTGTGGGATTATTTTCATGAAATTTCTGCAAGGTGCGATTGAGGGAGGTATGTGTTGTGTGCAGTAACCAGTTCTATTATTTGCGCAGCATGCTATGCGCACTTGCAGACAACCGTAGACAGGAGTCGAGTTTAAGAAATTCATACCTCCACCGTTGAAGAGTACGATCTTAGCTAAGATCGCGATCTTAAATACATGCCGTCTTACAATCGTGCTAAGATCGGCTTTGTGCAAGTGGATTAAGGCAATTCTATGTTGATTGTAAAGTTGATTGTAGGGGCCTGCGATTGATTGTAACACTTGTTCTATACAAGTGGGCCCTGATAGTATGTAATCTGGGCCACGAGGAGGCTATCTGTTTTTCGATCTGTTTTTCGTGTCGTTATTCTTCAAAATGGTAGTACCCGTGAATACCCGTATTATAATTTGTCTTCAACCATCCCTATTGGGGATCCATACGAAAGATTCGGGTTGCCTGGCAGGCTCGCTGGCAAAAGCTCATGATGCCAATCACTGGTTTGTTTTGTCCAAACTCAATTATTTACAGACCGTAGTCATATAGCCGGAATTGGTAATTATTTAATTAATTACAATGTTGATGTTTTATGCCTCTTCCAGCCAAATACATAGCGATCAAAACAGTCATCCTTATGTAACGAAGTGATTTTCGTGTGTTGCTTTTTAATAAAGACAGAATTCAGTGGACTTGGGTCACTCGGCTGGATAGTGAATGCTCGTATTCATCTGACGTCACACGTGTAAAGTTCTAAACTGTCGGGTTAGAGGAACGCTTAAACATTACAGGGGTGTGAACAATTGCATGTTGTAATGCATGTAATATAGCCTAAAGTACCTGTATCAAATGTATAGCCATGAATTGTATTGGCTGTACTCAAACATGGGTTTGTACTTCCTATAGACCTTGCTGTTCAGAGGACCCAGTCAGTATAATTTTAGTTACACGGCGTTTTCAAAGGGTGTACAGAACTGGAGACCCTTGTAAATTCATAAAGGGAGATAACTCGGGATAACTTAGTTAAGAAATACAGTTCGCCCTACCACCATGTATTTCAATCAATCTTTATTCAATCTTTATTCATACTGAATGCCACAGGCCCATAGTATACAAGAACATAGTACACAATATCATAGAAAAGAATAAAAATAGTCAAATCACAATATGTCATATCGCATCAAAATGTATCACATCATATAACATCGCATTACACATACAGTAGAACATGGTTATAGCGAACACGGATATAGCGTACAAACGGATATAGCGAACTAAATTTCTTGGTCCCTTGGAGTTCGTTATATTCGTGTTCTACTGTACTTTACATCTGTGATTAACGTAAACCATATGGGGCAATATGAACGTCGCATTTCTACTACCAACGTAAGTTTAGATCAGTACATCCAGATGAAGCTGAGTTGTCAAGCGACATTTCACGATTGCATTGTGGGAATGTAAACATTGCGAACGTTACCGTGTCGCTGAAACCTTTTGAGTTGAAATGAGACATTTTAACCGTCGGAAAACATAACGTGATGTTAGCTGCGTGAAGCAACTGCAATCCAAGAAACGGGATGCAACGGAGTAGCTACTGTAGGAGGCTGTACGAGGCGATGACAACTGGCATGCATCGTGACGTCGCTTACATTGTGACGTAATGCAAAATTGATGTCTTTCAGTCGCATTTAGAAGTTGTACGTTGATGTCCAAAATAGTTTTATAGATTAAACTTCTTTTTAATTTCCCTCACGACGTTTCGAGACCATTCCAGGATCTAGATTTTCGGAGCTCTCTTAGCGCTAAGATAGTCGTAAGTGCCATACATTAACATTACCTTGCGACTATCTTAGCGCTAAGAGAGCTTCGAAAATCTAGGCCCAGGTCCCTTCATCAGGTGGACTGACAGTTAGGACTATGACGTCGTCACTATGACGTCATAACAGTACCCTAGGGAGAGTACAGTATAAGTGAGGTGGAAGTGTTAATTACATAATGATGAAAATTCATGCTAGATAACAGAGTTGAAAGTTGAATTGTCGATACACAGCAACTGCTAATTACACAAAAGTTACTTGATAGCAGGCTTTCCGAAAAGTAAAAAGTAGGCTTTTTTATTTATCTAAAGTTCATCAAAAGTTAATCAAGAGATCCCAAGCTTGGCAGGTAGACACCTTGATCACGATTCATTGCCGGTTTATGTCTCCTTATCTCAACAACTTCCTGTAGTTTTCTCCGACGCCAGTCGTTGTTATTTCTCGAAAGCACCCTGGTGTCATTCCACATGATTACATGACATGGTTATTTGCCTTGTGCTCTGATATAGCTGACTTATCATTTTGTTTGCATACTGACGACTTGTATTCAGCAACCCGGGTGTTGATGGGCCTGAGGGTCTCGCCAATATATTGATCGCCACAGCTGCATGGTATTTGGTATACACATCCTCTAGGGTTGGGGCTTCCATTGCTAGATCCTCTTCCATTTGCCCGGAGGAGAGCAATATGAACGATGACGTCATAGTCCTAACTGTCAGTTCACCTGATGAAGGGACCTGGGCCTATATTTTCGAAGCTCTCTTAGCGCTAAGATAGTCGTAAATTAATGTTAATGTATGGCACTTACGACTATCTTTGCGCTAAGAGAGCTTCGAAAATATAGGCCCTGGAATGGTCTCGAAACATCGTGAGGGAAATTTAAAAAAGAAGTTTAATCCATAAAAAAATATCTTGGTAATGCAAAATTGTTCGATTACGAGGGGGCAGACTAGAATGGCGCAGTGACGCCAATACACTGTGACGAACTGCAAAAAGTGCACATTATCGTCTGACAAAGTACTGTCGGCGTCTCACACTCCGGCGCAGTGATGACTTAGCATAACATCACTGCCACAGGCTAATTTGCATATCACGTGACCGGACTTTTATCTTGTTTGTAAACATACGCGCATGTTCATAATAAGAAGAAACTGGCCTTACGCAAGCTTTTCGGCGCGCTCTACACAATGTTTTACATTGTTACATATATATTCTTCGACAACTACGATAATAAAGTTTATGACAGTA